CTGGCTGCAATGAGTCTCGTTCCGTTAATCTCTTCGTGCTTTTTTTTTCCATCAACATTACAAGCGTTTTTTGCTCATCTCAACTGCTGCTATAGGGTTGAGGCTTGGGAAAGTTGGTTCATGCCTGTCGTGCCTTCTTCATCTTGTGTGCTGTCTGAATTTCGCGCTGTTTTTTCCCTCTTATGAGCTCGACCTCTGACCATTTTAATACTTCCATTCACGTTGAAACCCAAAGCCTCAAAGATGGACGGCTTCTGCGGGTATTTTAGGATGAATGTCTTGGCATTATGTTAAAGTGTGTTCGCTTTTCCCCGTATTTATGCTGCACCGCGTATTCCTCATATTACCGAAATCACTTGCTCCCATATGTTCTTGTAATTTAACATCCAGCTCCGGCTTCAGATAACAAAAAAAAACTTCCCTTTATTTTATCATACAAATGTTCTCTTCAGATTTATTGTTTATCTGTATTTGCAAATCCCCCATGCCATACTTGTTTCTAACATTCGAATCTTATTTACAGTTTTTGTTTTTCTACTTCTTTTTGGGAACATGACTGGCTGTCTATTTTAACCTTTCGATAGTTCTGTACTTGTTTGCCAGTTTCCTTTTTTTTTTCTCCATTCCATGTCCACTGTATTTAGGCGCAAGCATTTGGGGGATTCAGCCGACTCTTATTTTTTATGTGTATTTAATACTTTTATTCAAAGTTACTTTTTTGTGCTTTTTTTACTTAGAGTGGAATCCATTCGATATAACCGTACAATGCCTCACTTGGGGTTTTTTCGTGCGCCCCCGGCGCCGATCGGCCGACTGATCCTTGCTCAAAATTCTGCGCTGACAAAACCTTCGATTTCAAGCAAATTGTTAGCCCTGGTGCCATTATTCCATTCCTTTTTTACACAAAACTTTACATTTATTCTTGCCCCAGTGTGTTCTGTATTTGATTACCGCTGCATTTAGTTTGAGTTCGTTTTGCGTCTGTTCTCGTAAATCTTGGCGGACGCTTACATAGGTTTTTTTTCCTTCATTGAAGTATATAAGTGAATGAATGAAACTTTATTATGGCGAAAGCCTTGCATGTCTCATGCGATGGTGGCCACGGCGAACGAAAGCCAGAGTGAGCATGGAATAACACAATAAATCACACCACTTTTCAAACGTGGCTCAAACCATGCTAGCTTTGCGCTCACTTCGCGTTTCTGAAATCGCGAGGCCGAGGCGATAAGGAAAGTTGAGAGGGCGCAGCAAACGTCACGGAAACCGTCCATGGAGCGACGCCAGCCATTTGGAAATCACACACACACACTAGACCCTCGGAAATCACACCTTAACCACCAGACCACCTCGGCGGGGTAACGTAATCACAGGTAGAGATGAACGCGAATAACTTATGACAAACGGTACAGAACCTGCGAAATGTGCATAGCCGCTGGATACCTAGCTGTGGCTCAAGAATCTTTCTCGATGGTGCGACTGTGGCCGGGATGATTGCACAAAATCAGTTTCACGGAAAGCCCCGCCGCGGTAGTGTAGTGGCTGAGGTACTCGGGTGCTGACCCGCAGGTCGCGGGTTGTAATCCCGGCTGCATTTTCGATGGAGGCGGAAATGTTGTAGGCCCGTGTGCTCAGATTTGGGTGCACGTTAAAGAACCACAGGTGGTCGAAATTTCCGGAGCCCTCCACTACGGCGTCTCTCATAATCATATGGTGGTTTTGGGACGTTTTAGCCCACATACCAATCAATCAATCAATCAATCAATCAGTTTCACCTAAAAGGTTAAGCGATGAATGCGATAGCAACATACTGCAACGTTATACGAAGTGAGGCTGGCAGTCAACTCATTTAGAACCGATTTCACGTAACTCTATAATACGCTAGTGTAAGAGAACACGGCCGCTTCAGCTACACTCTTGGCACCGTTTTTTCGTGTTGAGAGCGCAGTCCGTAGAAGCTCCCGCCTGCTGTGGGGGCACTAGGCGCAAGCTGATCGTTGCCCTCCCCCCCCCCCCGTGATGGGAAAAGTGTGCTAGTGTTGTGTTTGGTGTTGCGAGAACGCCGGCATGAACATAGTGGATGAAGTAGTCAGGCAGAAGCGGTATGGCAAGACTGGCGCGAAGAGAAAGAGGACACTGTGTGGTGACACGAGGCCACGGGGGGGGGGGGGGGGTGAATCGCGAGAAGTCTACCCGAGGAGTGTCGCACGCTGGGCAGGGTGTGCTTGGTTCGGGTGGCCGCGATGAAGTTGGTTCACCAGGGTCACAGCCATGGTTTTGTCCTGAGTGCCTGGTTCTAAGGTCGGAGCGGCTTGCTTCGCTCGGCCTCAAGCGTGGACGGTCCCTGGTGCACGCGTCCAAGGAGAAAATTCTGCGTGGCCCCGTCGACCTCGGTCTTCGGCACCGACCCGCTCCATCGGCGCATCTACTTCTGCGTCGCTCGGTTCTTCACCGAACTCCTGCGGTACCGGCATCCCAGAGTTAAATCACGCCTACGCAGACGTTCCCGGCAAACGTCTCAGCCACTCGCCGGTGAGACGTCCTCGTGTTAAGATTCAGCTTGGGCTTTTGTGTCGCTTCTGGAGCTCGTTTTCGTTTCCGTGTTATAACGCGTTCTGTCATCATATAACGTCCTTGTTGTGTGTCTTTTTTTGTATGTGTATTCATAAAGTGGAAAGAATCAGAAACCAGCCTCGCCAGTTCCTTTCGCGCGTTGTTGTCCCCAACGCCACTTGTTCTTATATCTGTATTATTCTGAAGAACCCCATCCCACACCCCTTGTTCATTCACGAGATAAGCGCGCGCGCAGACGATCCCGGCCGGAAAGGCGATGATCGCTCGGCAGAAATAGGAGGCTAGCGCATGCTTCCCTGCATATATACACACGTATACATGTACGTCAATGACGGCGGCGGCAGCGTCAGCAAAGAACCAGTCGAGACTCCCATATAATTGCTATCGCACTCAAAGAAAAAGAAGTCAAGCACACTGCAAAAACAGACCACTGTCGCCGAAGGCCATGCATGCAGTGCCCTATGAACTGGCACATTGCGCTACGCTCACACGTAATAGGAACACTAATCTCCGAACTGCACTTGTTTGTCTCTTCTCTTGTGTCCCGTTGGCTTGCGCTTCCAATTATTCCATTATGAATGTGGGAGAAAATGTTTCCTGCATATGGAAAAGTGGGACGTATGCGGCCCGCTGCCGCACAAAGGGTGAACATTTGCACCCCTGCGCCTCGCACTACCTGAAAGACATTTCTGTTTATCTCTCAAGCGAAGAAGACACGTAGCCCTATGATCAAGATAACAGAGGTTCCGTGCCTCATTGCTAGTGTGCGTTGAGTAGATAACTGCATCGAGCTTAAACCCGTGAACGTTTCTAACCTCGATTGTAGACACACCTGAGCGTGGTCACATCATTCTTTTCAAACGTCAGGCCGTAATAGGAGTATTCTAATAATTGTGATAGGAAATATAGAAAAAAATGTCTCTTGATAGGAGGTTAAAAAAAGATGCAATGGGTGGATGCCACCCTCTCATTTTGCTGCATGCACGAAAAAGCATGCACTCGCTACAAATGCGTATGGCGAGTAGTTGCAGCCATAGACAAGCGCGTGGGGGGAAGCCGGGGAGCCGCCCGCCTCCGAGTCACCTAAAAGGGAGAGGGGAACAAAGCACCGTACATTGACCTAATAGAGAAGGGGGGTGGGGTGCCGAGACGAACTTTCGCCCCACTTAAGGGAAACCCTGCACACGCCTATGGTTGCAACAAACTTAACATGGACGGATGAAAGGACACACGAGGACACTGCTAGCACGCCTTGCGTATACCTTCAACAGTTCCTCTGGCGACTCTCCGTTTCGTCACTTTTCCGCGGGTGTTTTGAAGCTAAACAACAAGTGACGGAATAAGTGCGCAACAGCTGGCACGCACTTCGGTTTTATCCCGTGGTAACGTGCCGCTACTTGTGAATACACGGAAGTTCCGCGCGAACCTATGAACCGAATTGCCAATTAGTTGTTATTTGCACTTACTTACGATCGGCTTTACTTTATCAGGCAATGCACATATCGGTTGGTTTGAGCAGCTAGAAACAGTGCGAACGAAGAGAATATGAGGTCGACTCCCCATAAAAAGTAGAAGGAAGTAGCAGGAACGACGAACGTCATATACTCAAAATTATTGGTGCTTCCTCCTGGTTTAACTAGCACTTTATGATAAACAATAAAAAACACTTGTTGCAGCGCATTGACAAATACCACTAACACGAACAAAAAATTGAAACAGTCAGATAAAAGACCAGTACTTGAGATACTTCTAGAGACTCACCTTGGCGTTTCTATACCCTATATAAAATATCGTAGCAGCAAACGTTCAGGTCCCCATCACATGCGGGAGAGTGACGGTGATCGGAATTGGCCTGCTTACTGAAATATTCCACACAACACAAGGTTGTTTTATGAGGCACTATTCTGAAGAAAATAAGCAACTGGCTTCAAGCAATATTAAAATGGGTTCGACATGTGGGTATCAACGAAGGGCGAATGAGAGCCAGTTTGTTTTTGCTCGGTAGCGCGCTGCCCGAGGCTGATCGAGCCCGGCCGAAACAGAAGCGGTAGTAATCAAGATAGAGCAGCTGCCAGGACGCTTGAAAGACATTTGGCCATTGCGCAGCCCGATTCCAGCTATGAGTGACGTCAAACGAGAGTGCATCGAAAGGATTGCCTCCGTACTTCACCTGCCAGTCGCGCTATATAGCTGAAAACCCAGTAATGCCATAACTTTTGAACCTTGCGTAAAAAAAAAGAAAGCAACAACGAAAGCTATCAGAAAATGCTCCGAAAATTCGCTGTAACAAACAAACGGGTGTGGCTACAATAAGGTAGACAAAATAAGCTCGTGCTGTTATTGGACAAAGCGCTAGAAGTGCATGTAGAGAGCTGAAAATCGCGTATAAAATAAAAAAAAGTGTGCAAAAAAGCAAGCTTTCGGTGACAACGCAGTGTTGAAAAAAGTTTAATCAACGTTCGCTTCAGGTGATGCGTAAGTCAAATGCGCGACAAAAATATTAAAATGAACATGCGTGTACAACCTACACAACAAACCCCTTTAGCGCGCAGCAAATGACGAGAATAGCTTAAAACAATGAGAGTCGTACTCTGCCGCTCGCTCATACGGGCCAAACACTGATGGCCCGATCTGTGCTTTTCAAGACTCAAATTGGAGCAAGCAGTATTGTATGGCTTCCGAAAACATAAAAACACATAAAAATGGCGACACTGCTGAACTAAAACGACGCTGAGAGCTAGAACAGAAGCCCCAGTGCCACAAACCCAGTCAAAACTTTCTCGCGGAAAATCACTGTAGACTATACTTTCAGCAAAAAAAGAGAGAAAAACCCTGAGCACTCGGGCCTTTCAAGCTATTAGCGTTTTAATCAATGGCCACAAGCATGCAATCGAGAAACGCATGCAGATAGCTGTCATATGCAATTCTAGATTGGCAACACGCTGCGTATGTTATTTCTTTTGGATAAGGAATATCTCAACAAGCGCAGTAGAGAGAAGAAAGAGTACATAGAAGAGTATGAGGATTGCCCCGACAACGCGAGACGAACGGAACCACGTCACAAGCGCCGACAGAAGAAGCACAAACAGGACAATTACGAGCGCCCCGTATATCAGCGGGAGCAGCTCGCTGTAGTGCAGCTCTATGCTTGACACGGATCTCGATACGAGGTTCATACTGAAAGCAACACCGATACCTAGTAGCAGTGCTAGTACGGGTCCGGCGAAGCAAGCTGCCATGGCCATCTGCGGAAAGCCCTGGCGCGACAGCTGCAGGTTGGTCACCAGGTCCCCAATGTTGTTGCCCCACGCGAGAACGGTCATACCAAGAATGACGTCACTGATGCCGTACAGAGCGCCGAATGCCTTGAGGAGTGCCACTATCTCAGTGGCGACGCCGTAGATCCAAACGATAGACATGGCAAAGCCAGCGTAGGCAAATACAAGGTGGTAACGCGGTGGCTCATGCACCGACGATGTGAACCAGACGAGGCAGGCCAATGCGACGCCTAACGTAAGAGCTACGCACCAGGCAGGCACCATGTCGCCAATGCGTACAGTTAAAATTCCAGAAATGCTTAGGGCCACGATCGGACCAGTGACGCAGTGCAGAGAATTAAGCGGTCGGGACCAATTGGCATGACGGTTCTCGTGGTCCACCACCGGTATGGTCAGCACAAGCACCAGCGAAATGGGCAGGGTCAGTACGTCGTAGATTTTGTAGCAGAGACGCTTGTCTTTCCACTCGCCAGGTTCCACGGGGGAAACGTGCAGAAGAAACTCGATCCACTCACTGTATGTCGGGGGCATCTTCTCGTCAGTCGACGGGCCGAGCAGCGGTGTTGCCTCGCCAGGGAACACAGACGACGCGACGAAATTGAACGAGGCCTGGCTCCATCGTGACGCACGCCGTGGATCCACCACTTCTGGAGCCTCTTCTTGGTCTTCTTCGACTGAGGCAGTGAAGTAGTAGATTGCATTTTCGTGATGGTGGTGCAGACTGATACCTGAGGACGATCGACGCAAGCGGGGTCTGGTCAGAAACGGCGGTGGCGTGCTGACCACGTCGTTCGCTTCGGCCAGAGAAGCCAGATCTTGACTTTCTTCATCACCTTTGTCGCTCCTGGCAAGAGAACTGCTGTTCAAAGACTGGCTGATTTCTTTATCAACGTTGCTGAAGCTGACTCGGGAGACGCGCCTGCTCGCAGAGACTTCCCGGCGGAATTGAATCCTGCTCAGTCTGGCAATCAACTTCTGGCCCCAGACCGCAACCGTTATGTAGAATAAGTAAAGTGCGATGAAGCCAACTGCGTCAGCTAGTCTGATACATCTGTTGAAATAAAGCGTGAAGGCCCAAAAGGAAGCCCCCAGATAAAAGATGACGTCTCTCAGGAGGGATGACTGGATCAGCTCGAAGTCGTTGTTGATGAAGATAAGGCCAACGACGATGGTCGCGACGTAGGTGCCTCCTCCGAACAGCTCACCGATAGCCAATGCCGTGCGGTCACGCCGGATGCTGGCGATCGTTGCGATGGTGTCCGGCGCTCCATTACCGAATGCCAGAAAAGTGACGCCGGCGACACCCTGCGAGAGTTGAAGGGCCTTTGAAATGTGCACGAGTGCTGGACACAGGTAGGAGCTGGCCGTTGACCCCAGCGCCACAAACAAGGTCGCGAGCCACAGGACCAAAAGCAGCAGCGAGGGAAAGCTCGCACCCTGGTCTCCTCTGCAGTACAGGAAATCCACGTACGGCAGAATCGCACGGCCAGCGTCGCAGTCTTCAAGGCTTCTAGCGAGCAAGCAGCGAGTAGCGCTGTCGTTGGCGAGGCTGTTCACCAAGCTGCAGTCACCCTCGCTGTTCGAGAAGTGCAGGGCGGTCGTGCCCATTGCAGCTCGAGCTGAACTTTCCTTCGGGTGGGAGGGAATTTCTTGCGCGCATGCATCACTGGCCAAACTACGTTGGTCGACCAAGCGAGGGCGCTCGTAGCGAGCCCTCGCTATACGTTCCGAAAAACGCGGCGACCGTCTTTCTACGGTGGTCACGAACGACGGGCGAGAACGATCAGTGACTTCAACGGGTGTCCATCGATCACCACTCTGCTAGATCAGCGCGTGCAACGTAACAGCGCGGCGAACTGCCTGATTGAGCGATTACCAGGGCACATGAGTTTCAGCGTGACGTAACGCCTGCGGCGCGCTCTAAACGAGGCCAGCGAATCACAGTCGAGGTGCTACCCCGGGCGCCAGGGATCAAGCGGGGAAGACGCGCCGGCGTTCACGACTATGCCATTGCTATCATTGCCACGTTCCGAGGCCCTTCTATTCAGATGACAGCAACGCACGCAACGAGAAATAGCGACGTTCTATTTGTATTTCTCTTTTTCTGCCAGTCGTTACGCCGCGGGGCCTTGCGTGCATTGTTGTTTTTGGCACGTACTACTGCTAGCTTGTCTAAATACATGCGCTGTATTGTGTGCTGATAGACTAGCGCAATCAGTGTTATTCCACAAAATCTTTACGAAGCCGTAAGATAGCTCCTAGACGATTAGTTCAAATGAAACTCATTTCGCTTTATCAGCGCCAGCGCTCTGAGGTTCGAGACGATGGCGTATTTATCTAGCCTCGCCCCTTAGCTTGATAACAAACCGTTGCTTTATAATAACACGCCATACTCTCGCCTCTATCGATGTTTACTTGTCTTGTCGATTAGGGAGCAGCGCAAAGCAAGAGAAAGAAAACAAAAGTAAAGAATGGTCTCACGAGAGACAAAAGAGAGCTTAGGCGGATGTGGTATTTGGCACGCATTCGCTTGCGTCGGCCTCGTGGAAAGCGTTACGGGTCCGTCGCGATCGTGAACACTGGGGACCAGCTGGTGGCGGCGTCCTACGTGGACGAGCCGGCGTCCGTCCTTTGTCGAGACTGATAAAGAAGTTTACCCCGCATGTCTGCTCAACAAATAGGCGGAAACACGCCATCTTCCGCCCTACTTTTCCTTTGCTGTAGCCATTAACAACAAAAATGACAGGTGGCATCGCCTACAGTGCATATTTAGCATAAAGTGCAGTGATGCCTCGATGCAAGAGGTGCCTCGTGCGCTAATTCCCGCTGTCCATCGAAAAAAATAAAAAATCGGCATATCCCTCGTAGCATGGGAACCAATGTTATGCGAAGCATGCGGAGGGAAGGTGACTGTGGTGTAATTTCCTTTTGAAAATTACTAAATAGCGCCATTACTTACAATCTTATGTTGAACACTTACATATGTTTTATATGACAAGTTGTTGAAAGCTGCGTATGAATGATAACAACAACATCAGATTTACCAACCCAAGAAGCGGCGAGCTGTTATGCACCGCTTGTGCTTGCGAGGTTAGTAGCCCCGGCTAGTGCTATACGTAAACCAACTTCAGCAGATGGCGCCTTTGTATACAGAGGACGCTAGCCTGGCGTGGCGCTTGTGTCAAGCAGCATACACGTAATGTTTATAAAATTAGATAGCCCAGTACAGAAAGAGCAATTGACGTTTCACCAACCTAACGCCTGAATAGGGTCTTTTTACAAAGCAGTTTCGAGGCTTAACGTGGCTGTTTGGTCGAATACATGATTAAAACGCAGATGGATTCGGTTCGATTTTCCCTGGGATCATGAGACCCTGATATATGTTTTTATTCTTCGCATTCGTCGGCGGTTCAATGCTACTGATGTCAGTTTTTCTTAAAGCTGGCTCAATTAGATTACCAATGTTCGTTGTCGCCGTTCCTGGGTAGACATAAACTGTCAATCACGTGTGGCGTATAGCCGCTTGCCACGTCCCGTGGTATACAGGCGTATGTGCCCCTCGTGTGTAAAGGAAAGGGCTTGGCGACGCATGTGGCAGGATTTCCACGTTATTCATGTCATGACCAGCCTTACATATTCGTCAAGCCCTCTTACCCTCGCATACTAATTTAGTATGGGAGGGTAGGAGGCGATCAAGAGATTACCCAGACGGATAGATAGATAGATAGATAGATAGATATATGGATAGATAGATAGATAGATAGATAGATAGATAGATAGATGAAAAAGAAGAAGGATGCTTTATTTTTCAATGAAATTGCTTACAAACATTTGTGCGAAAACATCCGTATCGCTAGCCGACATGGAAAGTTAAGGATCCGTTATAGACAAGGCATTTTGTTTAATTAGCGTGTAAAATCTTTCCACAGAAAATTCAATCACAGACTGAAAAAATCATATGCGAACATGTAGCAAAAACAGAAATAATGCGACATGTACATATATTTCCACAATATTTGCATGACAACCGGTAACTCTCCGATAGAAAGAGTTTCCTGAGTGACTGAATCATATTTGATAGACGTTTAATTAGGGTAGGGATACTGTTTCTAATTTTAGCAGCAACAAAAGGTATTGTTCGACGGCTGTAGACATTGTGTACTACTGGCAGATTAATATTTTGTTGTTCGGCCTGCTGAGTGTGGCCTCTAGGTTTTAATAAAATTGATACATGAAAGCTTACATTCTTAATCATTATTTTGTGTACTAATACTGCGCTTTTGAATCGCCTAACCATATTAAGAGGCATTATGTGGAGATTTCTGAAAAGTTCAGCCCGTGGCGCATTCTTGGGGGCTGCCGCAATTGTCCGAACAGCTCTTTTTTGTAAGATGGTTATGACTCAGCAATATGAGGCATATGTGTAGCTCCGTGATTCAATGCAATAAGTTAGGTGAGAGTGGAATACGTTGAAGTATAAAATACGGAGTATGTGTGCGCTAAAATATTTTCTAGCCCTAAGTAATGTAAAGCATGCAAAGCTTAGTTTTCTGCGCAAATTGTCTATATGCGATGCCCAGTGAAATGAAAGATCCAATGCCACACCAAGATTCGCTTATCAATGGTAGTTTCCCCGATAAATAGACCATGTGTTTGGGGTATCACTTTTCAGTTAGAGGCGAAAACTATGTACTTGGTTTTTTTTTGGTATTTAGTAATAGGTTGTTTGGTCGAAACCACTGAGAAGTCACTTGTAGCTTTTTATTGGCTAGTTATTCGGCTTCCTGGAGAGAGTGATGTGCTATGAGTAAAGCAGTGTCATCTGCATACAGAGCTGCTTGCATATGGGTTAAGGAAAGAGGATAATCATTAATGAAGAGAGAAAACAAAACTGGTCTAAGTACCGAACCATGCGGCACGCCAGTTTCGACGAGCTTCCTGTTTGATTAGTTACCAAGTATCTGTACATACTGAGTCCGTTCGGACAAATAAGTACGAAAGAACTTTGAAGTTATACCTCTAAATCCATGACGTTCAAGTTTGTTTAGCAATAGTATCAAAAGCTTTTTTTATGTCAAAGAAGATGCCGAGGACGAATTGGTTATTGCTTAATGCTTGGTTTACTGTTTCTGCCACAAAGCTTATCACAGTAGCCGTACTGTGTTCTTTCCTAAAGCCATGTTGATTCGGAGTTAGGATATTGTATTTTGTAACGATGTCTATCATTATTATGGCTACAAGCTTTTCAAAAACAGTGTTCACACATGATAGAATTGTTACAGGCAGGTAATTTGCTATGTTGTCAGAGCATTCACTTTTGTGGATTGGTGTCACCCTCCCTATCTTAAGCTGCTCGGGGTACACGCCTGTCGTGAAGGACAGGTTGAAAACAACAGCTAGAGGTGTGCTTAAGGTTTCGATATTGTCCTCCAATATTTTAACTGGTACTCCATCATGTCCCATGGCCTTGTGTGATGACATCTAGCGTACAACTACAATAATTTCAGCTTCAGTAATTTCACTAAAAAAGTAGGTATCCTCGTGAACAGCAGGGAATGGCGAGTTATGTTTTTCGTTTGTACTTGTTGCCGAGTGCTTTGCTACGGTTACGAAATAATCATTAAAAAGTTCCACTATCTCTTGTTCATTACAACCCACGACATCTAAATTGGGTAAAACAGGTTGTCGAGGCTCCGGATTTACTACCGCCTTTATTATACGCGAAATTTTCTTTATGTCACCGTTCGCTTACGTGATGAGACTACTGTAATTCCTTTTTTTCGTTTTCTCATCATTGATAACGACATATTGCGCGTGTTTCTGTACGATTCTTTATATTAACCGTTGTCCTTATTTTGCTTCATTTTGGTTAGCCGGTGTTCCCTTAGTCTAACAACTTTGAGTGTTTCTTCGGTCATCGAAGAGCAAATCGGTGTGGACAAGTACGCTGATCTGCGAGATTCGCACTCTCTTTTTATGCATCGTGACTGCAACAGTGATAACAAATCTGCGTAAGCTGCGTTCGCACCTGTACTATTTGAACATAAACACTGCGTTTCTTTGATTGGCCGTTTACTTTTTTCGTAATCAATCATGAATGATTGCGTGTTAGTCTGTTTTGCTCATTATAGATATATGCCAAACACATAAATGAAAAACGGGAAATGGTCTGACACGTTTTCTGCTATCACTCCGGCAGTGATAGCTTCACTGTCAATGTTTGACAAAAAGTGGTCAATCGTTGTTGGTGTAACTCTTGTTAGTGCCACAATAGGATTTCTAAAACCATAACTTAAAACTAAGTCTACATACTCCACGCTTGTTGGTTTGCTTGTGTCTATATTAAAATCACCGCTTAATACAATTTTTTTTTCACTTGTAAAGTGCTCTAAAATGTGTTCTAATTTTTCGCGTCTGGTGGTCGGTATAAGACGCCCACTATTACGTTATTTTGCCTCTCAAACAAACAGCACCTCTAGCTCTCCTAATTGTGTTCCCGTAACTTTCTCTAGTTTTGTAAAAGTAATCCAGGATGATATGTACAGTGCCACGCGACTGCCTCGGGAAACAAATTGTCTTGGAAGAGAAACAAATTGGTACCCAGCCATGTTTATGAATTCACCATCTTTCAGCCATGTGTCAGATAGTGCTATAACATCGTATTTTACATTTTGACGACTGATAAGAGCTATAATTGCGTCATAATTTTGGTTCAAACTTCTTACATTGCAATGCAACAGGCGTAGAATGGTGGGGCTGTCATATTTAGTCGGATTACACGTAATCGTGCCCATGAGCACGCAGTTCCTCCCAGTAAAGAGTATTCAGTCAAACTAGATGATCTTAGACTGGTCCGCACAAGAGGCTACGTGAATTACACTAGCATTTTCTGCTTTCCTAGCCAGTATTTTGGAGTTGGAAACCCATACAAACTTCCAGCCGTTTTCTTTCTTTCTGGCAATCGTCATGCGCAGTTACTCCCAGTAAAGAGTATTCAATCAAACTAGATGATCTTAGACAGGTCCGCACAAGAGGCTACGTGAATTACACTAGCATTTTCTGCTTTCCTAGCCAGTATTTTGGACTGGGAAACCCATACAAACTTCCAGCCGTTTTCTTTCTTTCTGGCAATTGTCATGCCTAGCAATGCTTTGTTCTCTGGGAAAGGTGCTCGTTGACCTACACAGAACTGGTGTCGGGAAAGCCGATTTCATTGCTTGTGAACTTTTTCTTTTTTGCTTCTTGAAGCCCTTAGTCCCGTGTAGCTCTAGATAAGGATTTAACGACCATGTTCCTTTTTTCTTTTTCCTTTGTGGGCACCCGATGCACTACGTCAATGTCACTTGGCGCGATCTGTGTTCCAACTTTGTTACCGATTCTCTGAACTACTTCGACCAGTTTCTCGTCAGGCAATTGAGGAATACTTTTGATGTCCAGATTATTGTTCCTGCTGTATTGCTTAAGTTCAGTAAGTTCTTTTTGTGTGGAAGAAAGTGCCCGTTCTAGTTCGGCCTTTTCTTTTTTTCAGCAGACATGCTCTTTCTTTAACATTGCTAGTTCTTCTTTCGTTGCGCGCATTTCTTCAAATGATTCATTCGTGCATTGTATGCTTTCTTTGAGGCTATCTATTTTTTTCTGATTTGCATCCACGTCACACGCATATCTGAAGAGTTCTTTGATTGTAGTGGGCAACTTTTTACCCATTGTGAACAGCGAGTGATCCAAACTTAAAATGTGTGAGAGTACGAAAAAAACGCTACACACCTGCAAGTATTTGCGAAAGTGGTGGAGCTTTTCGTCGAGGCGTGGTTGCCTGGATCGCTCGCTGTTCAAACAGCGATAGTATGGTGCTTAAAGAATTTATAGGCTCCGGCCCCGGCTGGTGGTGGTCAGCGCAGGCGCAGATGTCAATTTGATGTGTTCTGACGTACGTGATGCCTTGTTGTCGAGGGTCCCAGGATAAGCGCCGCAGCCTGCGCCAGCTACGGTGCGATACTCTGTTCCTCGGCCGGTGTCTTCACGGGGTGCCAATCTGCAAGTATTTGCGAAAGTGGTTGAGCTTTTCGTCGAGATAGATAGATAGATAGATAGATAGATAGATAGATAGATAGATAGATAGATAGATAGATAGATAGATAGATAGATAGATAGATAGATAGATAGATAGATAGATAGATGTACCTACAGTACGCAAAGAAACGCTTCGCATGTACTAAGAAGGATAAAATGCTCCATTCAACCACGTAAATAGTTTTAAGAAATGACAAACATGAAATGGGCTTGGAAACGCGCAAAAACGTTCCTTCAAAACGCCATAGTAGCTTTGAATAGACAACGAATATCTTTAGGGCAAGTTTCCAGCCGCAGTAGCCCAGAGGTTGTGGGGCTCGGCTGCAGACCCGAAACGCACATGTTCGACACCGGCCGCGGCGATCGTATTTCGAAGGGGCACTTGTAGTGTGACGTCAGTGTACGTTAAATACTCAAGTGGCCGAAATTATGCAGAGCCCTACGCTGTCTCTGACCCTACAAACCAACCGATCTTTAGGGCTAGTTAAAGGGGGGAAAATATTGCATCCACTGTTGGTCAAGCGGCGTGCACCCTTCAAGAGTCCGACAGTGTCACCTGCACACGTCAACTTCTTGAACTTCCGCTTAGATAGGCGAGTTTCTTCTTGAAATTCCGCTTGGAGAGGGAGCCCTTCCAGAAGAGGTCGGTGTAGTTTCATGATCGAGCAAAGCACACGCAGCAGCAGGCGATAACAAAACTATAGCTGACATGCGGTCACACTGTGTACCACATGGGTCCTTCTGAAAAATAACGCCTTCAAGTTGTTTTTTCATGATAGTATAATATTATCAGATGGCGTGTTACTTTCCACAACAATGATATGATTATGAGTGACGCCCTAGGAGAGGGCTCCGGAAATTTCGACTAACCTGTGTTCTTCAACGTGCGCTGACGTCACTCGGTAACCGAGTCTCTAGCATTTCGGCCCCATCGAGAACCAAGCGCTGCTGCCGGGATCGAACCCACGACCTTGGTTTTTTCCACCAACCAAACACAAAGTCAGAAGCACCATTTTACTCCAGCATATCATGCAAGGCAATAGTAGCTTGATTGCCAGTGATCAAGTGTACAGAGGTCCTACTGCTTAATATAGCCAATACCAGATTGCCCCACTCGTAGCGGAAAATCTGGTCCTACATTCAGCTTCACCTGCTACGGTGGTGCTAAGGCATTCGGCTGCTGATCCGCAGGTCACGGGATCGAATCCCGACCGTGGCAGCCGCATTTCACATGGAAGCGAAAATGCCGAATACCCGTGTACTTAGATTTAGGTACACATTAAAGAAGTCCAGGTGGTCTAAATCTCCGGAGTCCTTCATTACTGCGTCTCTCATATTCATATGGTGGTTTCGGGACGTTAAAATCTAAAAATTATTATTATTTAGACATTTAGCTTAATTTCTCAATTTTAAATGTGAAGCTTTTCTTAGCAAACTTCTGTGACTTTGAGCGTATCCACTCATCCATCCATCCATCCATCCACCCACCCGTCCGTCCGTCCGTCCGTCCGTCCGTCCATCCATCCATCCATCCATCCATCCATCCATCCATCCATCTATCTATCTATCTATCTATCTATCTATCTATCTATCTATCTATCTATCTATCTATCTATCTATCTATCTATCTATCTATCTATCTATCTATCTATCTATCTATCTATCTATCTATCTATCTATCTATCTATCTATCTATCTATCTATCTATCTATCTATCTATCTATCTATCTATCTATCTATCTATTTATCTATCTAACCGCTTACGTTTGGGTGCTCTCGTGATCACCTCCTTGCTGAACCCAAATTTGTATGGGAGGGTAGGATGGTTTGACGAATATGACTCGTTAGTCATGACATGAATATTGTCACAATCCTTAGTATCTACCTAGGAACGGCGAGAACACACATGGGCAATTTTAACGCGTGAGCGTTAAGCAATACCCGACATCGGTAGCGTCAACATGTTGAATACAGAATAAATGTCAGGGTTTCAGGTGAAATAGAACCAAATCATTCTGCGTGGCGATGAAGCATTATACCACAGAGCTACGCCAGGTCTCAGAACTACTTTTCAAATAGCCGCTCATGAAACTTGAATAGTGGTTGCAGCGCTGCCTACCCAAGTGTATAGACATTACATATGTATTTCTTTGATACAACCGTCACGTCGGGTTAACGTCAATTGTGGTTAAATGCCATGCGCTGAAGTCTATTATATAGAAGTGCCCAGGGCCAGCATCTTCGCGAGCATCAGAGCTTCTTATTAGCTTCTGGTGTTGCCAATACGCATGTTCCAGTTGGCATCGTAGCGCAAGATCAGAGAGCTGGTAATATGAACATCTGCAACTCGTCAACATATGTCTGTGCGTGCAACATTCGTACATATATTTAGCGTCATTTCATGACGTGTCGCTCAATAAAAAGAAACTGCAACGCAGTCACCTTCCCTCCGCATGTTTCGCATAACGTCGATTCCCAGGCACGTGGGATCTGCCCTTTTTTTTTCTCGAGCTTTTCTCTCATTTTTTTGGAACTTAATTTCACCAAAGCGCTGCGGGGCAGTATATCGACACTTTAGTCGTTCTCAAGTACTCAATTTTCACGTTGTCATAAACTGCTATTTGCCTTTAGTGTCCCTTCGAATCAGCACACCAAATACTCGACGACCAAATCATCCACAATTTAAGTGAGCATCTACTGAGGGAGGCGACTGGGCGGTGCATTCATCAACTTCATTTTTCCTCGTTACTGCGATGCTGAGAAGCACGCGATATGAGCGACCACCACGTGGCTCGAGAGGATGAGGTAACGCCGATCGATCGACTCACACCCCGAGGCTGCATGCTTTCCTGGAGCAGAGAGGCTTATGAGTGGACATATACAGAATCCGTTGATGGGATAGTCAAGCAGACGGCGTACGTAACTACTTCAACACGTAACAGCGATTCAACAGTATTTCCAGAACGCATCGGCTCTAGAATCACCGCCACTGTCGTTGCGTAAAGTGTAGGGCATTGCATAAAGTGTTGACGAAGCGACGTCGTTGCATAAATCAAGAGAGTCTGCGACACTCCTGACAACACTCTCATAATAAGCACGTGTCGCAGCCGAGGGGCGAGTATCTTGCGGATCGTAACCGAGTACGTTTATTCTCAGAACTTCTTTATTCTTCAATTTATTCTAAAATTATCTCAATTCGTATTGCAGCAAATCAGTCCTGCAGCAATCAAGAATCAGTACGAAATGATAAGAAAGCAACACTTCTCGCCACCCTGCAGGGACTCGCACGTCATATCATGGCGGTTTCTTATCGAAGAATGGTAAGCTTCACTTGTAGATTTTGGTGCACGTTAAAGAACCCCAGGTGGTTGACATTTCCGGAGCCCTCCACTACGGCGTCTCTCATAGTCATATGGTGTTTTTGGGACGTTAAACCCCACATATCTATCAAGCTCCACTTGTAATCTCCGCTTAGAAAAGAGTATTAGATTATTTATGCAGGCACAGAGATTATGTTTTCGTGATCATACGTTGAAGTATTTAGTAAGGCGTTTCGGCAACAAAAAGCAGCGTGGCGTGGTTCCCATGGCAAGCGCGAGGATCAATAAGAAGATACGCCATGCCATATCGCATGTTGTAAACTACGCTACATCGTCCCACGTGTGCTTAGCAAGCAAGCCCATAGGATAATGTAAACGCTCACAGCCCAGCAGTTTAATTCGCCTCGTGGATTGCCCTTCCAAAATAAAGAAACATACCTTCGTTATTTCCTTTCTAAGAAGAATTAGCGTAAAAAGCAAACCCTAGTATGTCGTCGCCAGCAATACGCTTAACATGCTAACGATCGATGTTCACGCTCTCTACGCAGGGAGCTCTATAAACATCATGTAAAGTGCAAACTTCTGATGACCTGCGAAACTTTATCCAGCACGATAGCTGAAAGAATGGTCTTTAACTATATCGCTATTCAGCACGCGACGCATTGCTAAGCATGATTACGCGCATTCTAAAGAAATTATTTGAATTATGAATCATGCCGTTTTCAACAGGTTGCGTAGTTCAGCGCCTCTAAGCTATGATGTGGGCTATGAGCGGTGCCATAGTTGGAAGTCCGGCTTAATCTTGGCCACCTGGTGACATTAAACGTGTATCTATGCAGTGAATACTAAAATTCATAATTTTGTTTTTGTTTTTCACCACGTGCCGAGTGGAATTCAAGTACAAGAAAACCAAGTAAGAGTATCTGGATCTGCCGCTCAGTGGCGGAGTAATCACTGTCCACCGCGGTGGGTATTTTACCAACCATATAGGTGTTCAAGTACGCCGAATGCCATGCCCTATTGTGTACCATGCCTTGATCACGCAGCCTTAACGTGGAAAGGAGCCGGGTCATGTCGACCATTAGAACTTCACCTACGCTTCAAAATATCTGTGCGGCTATAGCACAGACGTATATAGTGCGCAAACACATTCAAATATCTCGGTCTCTACGGCCTTCCATAGACAGATAATAAGGTGGCTTAGTTCATGCAGCGCGAGCTTGAGAAGGACACAAGGCGCTTCGTTTCCAAACAAGCCGCGACCGCGCTAGTTTTGAAAGAGTTGGGGGGAAAAGGAGCTCGTCTGATGAAAGTTGGGAGGCGGCCGGTGAAACACCGCGCTCCAGCAGCGAGCGCTGTAAGGAGCGGCCAACGCAAACGTTGAAAGAAAACAGGAGGCTCGCCCTCTGAAAGCCAAGACGACGTGCGTCGCGCAAACGAGCCGCTGGACCCACTTCGTTCCGGCGCGCGTGTGTTCGATGCGCAAACACTGGCTGTGTTCCGAACGTGGCGTCCTCTCCTTTTTAGACCCGGGTGGCATTCAGATAGGTTTTTTTTGGCTCTTTCCGGGCGTAAGACGGGCACCTGTTGGCTTCCGCCTATCCCCGCTGGCCATATCGATTTGCGCAACACAGAAGGCCCT